GCCATCATATATTTGCAATGTGAACCCTGGTGCCTCTTCCTTTCCTGAAGCTTGTTTGGACCTCTTGGATTTCTCTCTCCATGTGTGGTTGGAGTCTATGGGCCTCGGCAGACAGCTAATAGAGCCGTCTTCCGGGCCCAGAAGAGGAGGGGCAGCCGCATGAGCGGCGCCCCTTCCTCTTCCTGAGGTCGCTCTCGGAGTCGCCGGCCGTTCGCACGGCCGGCGCTCCGGGGATGACCTCACGCCGTGGCGACCGTACGTGCCGTGGCGTTTGAGTCAGGGAAAGTGTGCCCGCCGCTTTTAGGGCGCACTTTCCCTGAAATCTAAAAGGAGAGCCAATTTGGAGCTCCTTTTAGATTCGCCAGAGGTGCACCGCGGTATGGAGGCTGAGCTCCGCCGGCGCTCAGACCCGTGGCGCACGGGAAGCTCCCGTCTGCTTCCCCCCTATGTTGCAGTATTTTGAGCATAGTTTTTTTGCTTGCATAGGAGATTAGTGCTATAGTTCTATAATTGCTTCAGTCTCTTGTGTCTCCTTTTTTGTGGATAGGGAAGTATATTGATCGCTTCCAATCTGTTGGCCATCGTTTTGTTTTCCATATCTGTTGACATATATTGGTTAGCACTAGAGTTGACTCTGTCCATGTGAACTACCACAGTTCTATTGGTATATTATTTGTTCCTGGAGTCTTGTTTTTTGTAACAGTATACATGTTACATGGTTTTAAATTGTTGTAGTTTTTAAAATGGTTTTGACTGTCATTTTTAAATGGTTGTGATTTTAATGGTTGCTATACTTAATATGTTTTTATCTTGTTCAAATGATTTGCTTTTAATTATTTAAATTTTTTAAATTGTTTATATTATATGTGGCCCCAAGATCCTATGATAGATGTGTTTTAATAAAAATAAATAAATATGTTTTTGCTAGCTGCCTTGAGCTCTGGTTCTTGAAGAAAAAAGTAGGATATGAAAAATACTGTAGTTACCATACATTAAATTCTCACATTTTCTCACAGAAAGAATCTAGCTCATCAAAAATTATACAGAACCTTGATCTGAAGATGAAGTGCACAAACAAATGTAGCAAATACATTCTGCAAAACATAATTTTGGGAGACCAGCACTGCTTGTGGAAAGGAAATAGCTCAGTGGGAACACATACATTTTCCATCCAGAAGGTCCCTGGCATTTCTTGTCAAAAATCTTTCAGGTAGCAAATGATGTGAAACACATCCCAAGTCTGAGGTGCCAGGAGAGATGCTGCCAAAATTGAAAATACTCAACTACTTGGATGAAGACTCTGTCTTGGCAAAAGGCTGTTTCCTCCATCATGTGCATTGTATTGTGGCTGCTCTTCTAACATTTTTCTCTCTCCTAGTTGCTCTCAAGATGCACCACACTCATTGTTTATTATAGAGAAAATATTAGTATAATGGTTCACATTTTTCTCACATAACAGCAGGAGCCTAACTGCATATGCAAATTATTATAATTTAAGTACTAGTGCACCTGTGTTCCATGTGTGTGTTTACTCTCTAGTTTTTTAAAAAGCAAAATAAGTACAGTCATTTAGCAACATGCTGTGTGTGATGGGCAACATTACAGAGGAGCTAACGCGCAGTTTTCCAGAAGAAAAAAAAGAAAAGAAAATCTCCACAAAGGCCAGTGTCTATGTTAACAGCTTAGGCAAAACTGTCATAATATTAAATACCAATCATTATAAAATGGCTATTAAAGATACATTTGGTCCCATTCCAAACAAATTTTTCAAATTTTTACTGACTTAAATCCAGTAGGGGAACACCTCCAGAAGCATTTATTTATTATACTTTAACCTCAGTCTTATAGCAAGGTAATCTTCTCTATTTCTCACCCACCCCCAATTTGTTTTCACAACAATCCAACAAGAAAGATTAGTCAAATGATAACAAATGGCTCAAGGTAATGTTCCTGCCCCAGCATTAACCAACAAACTATAATGGCACAAATGTATGACCAAAATGAAGTTTTGTCATAATGGAAACAATAATAACCAATACTTACTGATTCTTAATGAATAAGCAACATAAGAATAGCTGTGTTGGATCAGCCCAAAGGCTAATATAGACCAGCATTATGTCCTCCCAGTGGCCAAACAAATACCTATGGGTAGCCCAGAAGCAGAAACATCCTTGCATTGAAGATTCACAGCAACCTGTAGTGTACTACTACTGATACTTATGCCCAGTAAATTATTCATAGTCTCTTTTAAATCTACCCAAATTGAAGGCCGATACAAGATCCAAGGGAAAACTACAGATTTCCAACTCATGTGCTGCATGCAGAATGATTTCACTTATCCATTCTGAACCTTCCATCACTCAATTTCAATGGACGACTCTGAGTGTTAATACTATAAGATAATATTATATCAATTTTCTCCATACCATGCATAATTTTGCATACCTTTGGCATGACTAGAATCATGGTCTCTCCATGAATCTAAGGCTGCTACTACACTGCAGAAGTAAAGCAGTCTGATACCACTTTAACTGCCATGACTCAATGTTAAGGAATTCTGGGATTTGTAGTTTGATGGGGCACCAGAATTCTCTGACAGGGAAGGCTAAGTATCCCACAAAACTGCAAATCCCAGAATTCCATAGCATTGAGCCATGGCAGTTAAAGTGGTGTCAAAACTGCTTTACTGCTGCAGTGTAGCAGCAGCCAAAGACACCTCAAAGGTCACAAAACATTCTTTGTTGCTGCTCCAGCCCCCTCCAGCCCACCTGGAATACTGTGTCCAGAGGAGGGTGGCCAAAATGGTGAAGGGTCTGGAAACTATGCCCCATGAGGAGAGATTTAGGGAGCTGGGTATGTTTAGTCTGGAGAAGAGACTGTTAAGAAGTGATAGGATAGCCCTCTATGGACGTTATCAC